CGAAAGACGGCACTACACGAGCACGGCACGGCGCACTCGCTGCGCAGAGCGCACACGGCACCGCACGTAGATCGCGGAGCACGTGCACGTTGCCACAAGCCAGTGGCACCTCGCGCGCAAGGCTCGACACAGACACCGACGGCTCTGGTCGTGCATGGCCAATGTTACCCCACGCGTACCAAGTAGGGCCCCACGTCACTCAACACGCAAACCACGTCGAATTGGAAGGCCGTGCGCAACCGACGCCCTCGCCACAAGCGCGCCATTCAGGTGACAGGATGTGTGCCCCAGCCTTCGCACGGGTTTGCCCATTTCAGAATCTGCCGCGCATCCACCCCCCACTGGGCAACGCTTTCACCCCGCGACGCGCCCACCTCGACTGCCCTGACAAGTTGGAGACCCTGATGTTCAGCAGCGTTCCCTGGGACAGGCTTCACTCTGCATGGGGCTGAGTCAGCATACGTTAGCGTGGATAGGTGTGAAGTAAGCAGTGTCAAAGAACGCTTGTCACAGACTATTTTGAATAGCTGACGAGACGAGTATGCATCAACCTGGCTACACGATGACCCCTAAGAGAGCACCAAGAAGCTACACTTATGGATTGGAGGTAAGTGTTTGCGTTGAGGTGCATGTTTGTTTGCTTTCGGTTTCCCAACGCTCGAAGGCAGCAAAGGTTGGACCCGATATCGCTCCAATATGAAACCATGTGCCCCCAGGAAGTCCCGAAGACAGCCCAGGAGGCTTCCAAGAGGGCCCAGCAGGGCCCCAAGAGGACCCTCAGGGGGGCCCAAGAAGAGGACCGAACTGGCATGTGGAACCTTTGCCCTAGAGATCGCACCCGAGCCTGCCAGCGTGCCCCCAGTGAGGCTGCCATAGGCCCCGAAACCGAACCACCAAGGCCCCAAGGAGCCCCCTACGACGCTCCAACACTGCCATAACCATACCCGAAAGGCACCACGAAACCCCTAACAAACCTCCGTTATACGATCGAATGCCAGTATATATGGGAGTACATCCATATATACAGATATGCATACACATACATACATACATACATACATACATACATACATACATACATACATACATACATACACGTACACACATACACGTACACACATACATACATACATACATACATACATACATACATACATACATACATACATACATACATACATACATACATACATACATATACACACATACCTACCTACCTACCTACCTACATACATACATACATACATGCATGCATACAAACATGCATGCATGCATGCATGCATGCATGCATGCATGCATGCATACAAACGTACACATACCTACATACCGACCTACCTACATGCATCTATACACACATACATACAACCATACATTACATACGTATACACATACATACATAAACACATACAGACATACTCACATACAAACATACACACATACATGCATACATGCCGACATTAATGCATGTGTGCATGCATGCATGCGTGCATGCATACGTACATGTATACATATGTACGTACACACATGCATGCATGCATACACACGTACATACATACGTACATCCATACAACCATGCACATATACATGCAGCACGCATACATACATACATGCATGCATGCATTCATACAGACATAGGTGCACCCACATACTTCTATATATACTATACAGATGCGTACACACGACCATATGTGTTTCCGTAGGCACATATAGTTACATGCAGCGGAAAACATGTATTCATATATACATATATATATAGATATGTATTAGTACGGCTGTGTATAAACTAGTGTCAGTATACGAAACGTATTAGCTCACGTTTGGGGATTCATGCGCACATGTATAGACGCGAAAACAATTAAAGAGAGGCAGACATATAGGTCAGACCAACCAACGCGCAGCCATCGAAACGTGCCATCTGCACTCAACCCCAATCTCCCACACAAAACAATGTGACGGTGGGCTGCTGTATATTGACCCCTTGGTGAGGTATCAGGGCGGGACTGCCTCACTTCCTGGTCGGGGAATGTGAACACGCATGTGCGAACAGGCATCGGCAAACTACACCGGTTTGACGTGCTTGCTGGGCAACTACCGCGTCCTCCAAGAACTGGGCGATCTCTCGGCGGAGCGACGCACCTGACCCCTCGCATCTGACCATCCATGTTTGCTGCAACAAACAATTTCCCCCTTGCAGCCTGACTCCACTACTGACTTCGCGTCGGTACCCTCCCTTAGCAAGGGCACGCGCGCTTTACGATGTTATGGACACCCATGCGGGAATTCTGCCATTGACCGTGCCTCCAGACATCACGATGCTTGTAACACCACGCTGGCCACGCACACAACATGTTCTGCATCACTCCGATTGGTAAATCATGATTACTGCCTCTTCTCCCACCCTCGCGCAACTTCCTCCCTGCCACGCCTGAAACTCCACCTCCCAATCCGTACGCCATGGAGTGAAATCTTCCGTCACCTGCACTGGTGACCTCATCGCCTAGGGTCTTCAAGCACCATGCATCGCCCACCACTCAGGATCCTCCGTTACCTGGAGCGGACTCTTCTGTAACCTGGAACTTTCCGCAGACTGGAGCACGTCGATGGCTGTCGATCGCTATCGCGAGACTCGTCTGAGCAGCGCAAGAGGCGAGGACCAACCATCATACTGTTGCTGCTCTTCGTCGCCTCGTCCTCATCCTCGTCTCCCCGCTTCTTATCCGTCTCCTCTTTCGGCCCTCCCCCTCCATCATCATATCAACATGCGAACCCCCGTCCTCATCCTCATCTTCTTCTCTTTGTCCTCCAGGACTCCCCTCATCATCTATCTCTCCTGTCCGATGAGAGCCTCCTCATGCCGCCAAAGCTGATGATAGTTTCTTCTGCTGCAAGTCCTCTCCCTGTTCCTCATCCTGCTGCTGCTCCTCATCTGTTTTCCTCCACCCCTTCTCCCAAACAACTCCTGCTGATGATCCTCTTTCTGTTCCTGCTGCTGATTCCCCCCCCACCCTCCACTACCTCACTCACGCTCATGCTGGTGGGCGTTGATTCGACTCTTCCTCCTCCTCCTCTTCATCAACATCCTCATCCTCCTCGTCCTCATCCTCCTTTCTTTCCACCGCCATCATAGCCTTCCTCATCTTGTTTGTGTGCGCGGCGCTATCTCTTACACTGCAATTCATCCGCACGCCTCCCTCGCCATCCACCCTCATTCCGCGTCCCTTGTCCGTCACCATCCTCATATTCTTCCTCTTCCTTCTCCTCATCCTCCTCCCCTCCTCCTCGGCCCTGGCCTCTTGGGGTAACCCCCGTGGGCCGCGGAGTAAGTCCAGGGGCCTTGGGAAATCATGGGGGGATCAACGAAGCAACGCACCAGGCCTCTTCCTCCTTCTCCTCATCCGTTTCCTTCTCATCCTCCTCGGGGGCCACTCCTGCTCCTGCCCCTCCTCATCTTTTCTCCCGCGCTTTCGCATGTGGACCGGTCCATATATGTCATACATCCATACATGCACATATAGCACCTTATCTTCCTCCTCTCTCCTGCTCCCTCCCCCTCCCCCTTCCCCCTCTGCCCCTCCTCGCCCCCTCCTCCTTCTTTCCTTCGCCTCCCCTCCCTCCCCCTCTCTCTCCCCCCTCGCGGCCGCAGACGCAGCCGCTGGTTGGCATAGCTTCGTCGGTCTCAGCCAGGCTGGCGTCGTCTTCGTCGATCGTCTGTCGACGCCGCTGCATTCGTTGTGGTCGCGATTGTGGTCGTGTTCGTGGCCGTGGTCGTGGTCGTGGTCGTGGTCGTGGACGTCGTCGTCGTCGCCGTCGTCGTTGTCGTCGCCGTCTTGGCCGTCGCCTTCGTGGTCGTCGCCATCGTGGTCGTCGCCATCCTGGTCGCCGCCATCGTGGTCGTCGCCATCGTGGTCGTCGCCATCGTGGTCGTCGCCATCGTGGTCGCCGCCATCGTCGTCGTGGTCGTTGTCTTTGTTGGCGTCGTCGAAGTCGTCGTCGTCGTCGTCCAAGGGCTCTGGCGGGGCGGTGGTCGCCGCGCGCCAGCCCGCGAACAGGCAGCTGCCGTCACCCGGCTGGCGCACGACCCGCGCGGCGCGCAGCAAGAAGCTCCCGCCGCGCGCACCTTGGCGTCGGGGGCGGGCATTCGCCCGACAGATGGTGAACATGTGTTTTGAACGTCTCGTGCTCGCGAATGCACCCCGAAGAAAGTCCATTACAAGTTGCGCGGTGTCGGTTGCGAAGATCATATCAAGGTCATGCTCCTACCCCGATATTTTGTGTGCGTGCGTATGTGGCGCATCCGCCCCGCGCACGCACGCCCAACCACCGCTGACACGCTGGGCAGCCTCAGATCCCGCTTCTTTCAGGAGGGCCTCCCTGTGATTCGGATGCGGAGCCCGGGTGCCATCGCGGACCACAGTAGCTGCAGCTGCAATTGCCAGGCGAAGAAAAAGTTGTGTCGGACTAATACTCCTCCTCTCCCTCTTGCTCCTGCTCCTGCTCCTGCTCCTCCTCCTCCTCTTCCTCCTCCTCCTCCTCTGGGCCCCCTCCCTGTATTCTCCCGCCCAAAAAGGGAATCACTTTGGTCCGCCCTCGCGGACTCAAAGAGATGCAGAAACTCCTCTTCCTCTTCCCCCTCCTCCTCCTCCTCCTCCTCCTTCTCCTCCTCAGGGCGACTGCGGAACGGCAGCATGGTGAGGAGAAGCAAGCGCTTGAGGAAACGGAGTGAGAGGAGCATCACAAATCGTTTCAGTCGACTTCTCGGAGGTGTGGAGGAGGAGGAGGCGGATACTGTGGAACATGATGATGGGATTGAGGGGGAGAAAGAAGAGGAGTAGGAGGAGTAATAGTAGGAGGAGGATGAGGAGGAGGAGGAGAGTAGGAGCATCACGCAAGCGAAGATCCCCAGGGCCAAGTGCCTGCCGACTGCGGAGAAGAAGAAGGAGGAGAAGTTGTCACGTCAGCGAATGGTCAACACCGACGCAAACAATCGAATATCCCGCCACCGAAGGGAGAACGAGCAGGAGCAGCAGAGGTAGCTCCTGGCGAAGGAGCGATCACACCAGCTTTTGCCCGCGCGGTCCTAGGGAGGTTGAAGGTATGAATCCAGGGGAGGGATGGCCCACCGAGCTCGCGAGCCTGCCCGCAACGGCAAAACACAGCACGGACACAGACTGTCGGCGGTCCGTGGGCCTCTCGGGCCGGCGCTGCGAAGCGCCCCCAGCCCAGACCCCAAACGTTGTCAGTTTTTGTTCGGAAGGTCGACCCCAGAGGTATGGACCCCTCCGCCGGGACAGGTTTCTCATCCGGAGTCGTTCTTGACAGTCCCGCGGCCCGGCAGGGGCCCCCGCAGGCCGAAAGTAGCGCGAACAGCTGGGAGGGGGGGGCAAGGCGCGGGGGCCCGCGCCGATCCGAGGAATCCGCGCGGCTCTCCCGAACTGTATGTCTGTGCAGTGCTTTCCCGTCGGCTGCCGTCCAGGCCCCCCCCCACCTGCGAGGCTCGGGTGCTGCCAGCGCGTCCCCGGCCCACGGTGCCCCCAAGATCTCCAACGATGCCCCAGTGGCCTCAATGGGCACCCCTTGCGAGGCCCATGGGGGTCTCCAGGCTCCCAGAACTGGGCGAAAGTACAGCAGACAATCTGGTCAAGAAAATCATCACCTAAGAAACTTGGGCCAGCTTCCCTGACGTTTCTTAAAACAGGCATGGGCCAGCTTTTGTCGTTAGCGCTGGAGGGGCGAACGTGCACAAGAAACTTGGCCAGCCTTCCGACAAGTCGACAAAGAAACGCTGGCCCAGCTTGTCAGGAGGAGATCTCAATCAGATGCTCGACTCCAGAGGAGCACACAATGCATGAACAAAGACCCTCGGAGGTCCACCCGGATTTCCCCAACCTGCGCTGGACCCCCCCCCTGGCGAGCGGAGCGCGCTTCGGGGCGGCGACGGAGGCGTTGTCAGAAGGGGCCAGCCCAGATCCAAGAAATCCGCGGGGAGCTCCGAGAGCTATGTCTACGCAGCGCTCTTCCTCTGCGAGAAGCCTGGCCTGGAGCATCCCTGCGAGGCGGGCTATGTCCATCTCCACTGCATGGGACCCCGACGCCCTGGGACCCAAGCCAGCGGCCGGTGGTGCCGAGCACACGCACGTCAACCGCCCACCTGCCGAGGACCCCGAAGACCGCTCCCCAGGGCGGCGCTCCCCTGGAGAAGCCCCCGCCTCGGAGCCTCGGGCCGGGGACGCCTTGCTGGCAGCCCCCCGGGGACGTGCCGCTGCCTGGCGCGCCCGCTGCCGGGTGCCACTGCAACCTGCAGGCTCCCCGGCGCCGCGCGCGCCGCGCCGCACCGGCGCTCACGGCGGTACAAAACCGGAGCTCGTGCCGCCTCCGTCTGCTGGGGCTCTGCCGCCTCTTCGCCTCGGGCCCCGCGGCGGCCGCGGGGCGCTCAGATGTACGTCGCCTCGGAGGGCAGAGGCACCCATGGGTAAGCGAAGCCCCCCCGGGCCCACGCGCACAGGAGGCTGCGCCGTCGAGCAGGGGCCCCCTTGTGGCCCAGCAGCCTCGGGCCCTCCTTCGGGGGCCCTCGGCGGTCTTCTGGCGGGCCTCGGGGGTTCTCCTCCTGGTCGTCGGCGGCCTCTGGCGATCTTCGGCGCGCGAGAGGGGGGTCTGCGTCCGAGAGGGGATCCACGTTCGAACACCTGGCCCGAGGAAGGAACCGAGCAGGGCGGGGTCTCTCGGCAAACGCCCAGGGCTGTCGTTCAGCAAACGCCAGCCAGTTGGACGGAATCGGGGTCAGGGAAAGGTCCATGATGTCATGACATGAGATGGGCTCAGGATACCTTCCAAGATTTCCAGAGTATCCTGTGGCATTAGGGCGCATGAAAAACATGCAGATCTTGGAACGATCACGACCTCTTGCACCTCCCAGTTAGGCTGGGTCGGGGTGGTTTGCCCTCCCTCGACGCCTGCCGCTGCGGCTCTGCCTGGCCCCAGCCGGTCGCCGTCTGCGCATAGCCGGCGAAGGCAGCCTGCGGAGGAGCCGGCGCCAATGGCGCGTGCGAGGGAGTCTGCGCGACGTTGGCGAAGGCCCCGTGGAAGGCCGACAGCGTCGAGGCCAGCGCCTCGCGCAGAGAGGCGAACTCGGCCTCCGTGCAGTCCTGGACGAAGTGCAGCTGCTGCCCATTTGCTTGCCCGTGGACCACCTGGCGGGGGACGCGCGGCACGGCGGACCGGAGCGACACGCCATGCCGTACAAGGGGATCGCGTGTCGCTCCGGTCCGCGGGGAAAAACTCGGGACGTTGACGCCTGGGGACCGTGACGCGGACAGCGTGTCGCGCCGAAGCGTCGTGGGCCAGAGCCAGCGGAGCGACACGCAATCCAAACAATCCCGGCCGTGAACAAGAACTGTCGGATGTCCGCGTTCATTTTTCTGGATCGGCGCTGGACCCCCCTTCTTGGCGCGCGGAGCGCGCCAGTGACGGCGCCGCCAGTGGATTCCAGCCCGTCCAGCGCCGATGCAAGAAGTCTACAGGGCAGTTTTTAATACATTGTATTTTCTAAAACATCGTATTTTAAAATGCACTTATCTAATAATAAAGTTATGCATGAATTCATGGTTGTTCTTAATACTAAAACCCTGCATTTCAATACATGGTCCGCACGCGGAGCATGTATAAAAAACGGCACTGTACGAAGAGCTCCGAACATTTATGTTCAGGCCTGTGTCTCGGGTTCAAGGAGTGGCCACACGCACCTGGCACATGCCACGGACCTGGTCGAACACGGCTGACGCGTCGAAGCCGTAGGCGCCATGGGCGCCGCGCAGCAGGCGCTCGGACTCGGACCAGTTGGCCGTGACACCGGCCTCCTGGGTCCCGATCCACGCCGTCGCCGCGTCGTGCTCGACGTAGCGGACGTAGCAGTTCCCGCTGGCGCCAAGCAGGTTCAGGTCCTCGATCGCCCCGTACCCCTTGAACCACTCCTGGAGGAAGGGGCAACGGCAGCATAGGCTTTCGGACGTCAGCGCGGAGTTCTTGGATCGGCGCTGGAGCCCCCCTCCCTGGCGCGCGGAGCGCGCAGGAGGGCAGCGCCGGAGGCATGGCCACGGGGGCGGCCCAGCGCCGATCCGACAAATCCGCGCGGGGCTCCTAAAGTCTGATGCTGATCAATTTGTTCTTCTTCGAGCTCCAGGATCTGATCCCGCGAGTAGTGCTCCACTGGCAGGTTTGTCAGGAACACCTCGCGGTCCCCTGGGTGCGCGGCGACCTGTGGTCGCGCGGTCATCGGCAACTCGTCGACGTACACCACCCTCCGCTCGCGCACGTTCTGCTGACCAGCCCTGGGGAAGCCAAAAGATATCGAGATCTCTGCCTGAGTGCGTTCTGACCAGGACTTCGAAGCAAATCCAGCAGCGGCGACGAGGGCCTCCCACGAGGCCCAGGAAGCCGAACATGAGACTGGAACAGCGACATCTCCTCCCCTGAGCCCCCGGTCCCGGCTGCACTGCAGTACAGGGTGCACTGCTCGTGGCCATCGGTCACCTGGGCGCCGTGCACCTTGGCCACCGCCGAGCGCACGTTCCCCGGCAGCGTCAGCCGCACACTGGCCACGCGCGAGCCCGTTCTCGGATCCGCCATGATCTTCACCTCCTCCATGCCGCCGTACGGCGCAAACGTGGCCTGGGATCCCGACCCCCTCGCGACCTGAACAAAGTCATGACGGGCGGGTGTTTCTGTTTTCGGCCTCCGGGGGCCCTTACTGGGCCTCAGGACGGTCGATCCACAACTCGACATGGAAAAAATTGTCCTGGGGAAGGGGCCCGTACCTCTGCGGGCCCAACGGAAAAACAAAAACACGACGTCGGCGGTCTGGGGATGGGGCTCTTCGAGGTGTACACCAGGCAAGTCGTCTGGTCGACCAAGGATCGAGTAGGGGATCGACTAATTACAGCATTGGTTTACCCCAAAGTCGATTCTCTCGTCGAGTACGAAAAATACCTGGAATCGAGCAAATCAATTTTGGGGTAAATTAATTCGGCAGTCGACCCCCTACTCGAAAGGAGCTCGGTGTGTGTGTGTGTGTGTTTGTGTGTAGACGGCGCACGGTCTCCGACGCCGTGAGGAGCTGGAGGGCCTGTGCACCCAACTCCTCCGCCGAGCTATCCTCTGGCTCGTCTTGAACGGCCAGACACTGTGGCGCACACCGTGCGCCCCTCCGATGGCCTGAAGCTGCGCCTCGCCCCAACTTCTCGGGAAGCCGGACACCGTAAGCAGCCCTGCGCTCAGCGCCGCGCCTGGGTCCTGGCAGGAGCAGCCAGCACCAAGCCGACGAGCCGGACCGCATCGGCACGGAATCTGATAGCCACATCGAATCCAGACCCGGACCCGCATCGGATCGGGACCCGCATCGGCACGGAGTCTGAGTCGGCAACGGTTGGAAACCTCCCATGCGGACACCAGGCCTGTTTGGAACCTCATGTCACTGCCCACCCCAGACCCCGCCCCGTTTCCTCATTGCCAAAAACGCAACATCGCAGAAAATCACCACGTGAGCCCCAGACCTCGTCTTTCTGCATTATCTTTCGAGCTGGATCGATGTGTGAGGGTCCCGGGGCCCGACACTGGGCGAAACCTCATGGTGGGAACAATTGGCATGCGACGTCCTGATCTTTTCAATACGGGACCCTTTCCCTGGGACCGGCTTTGCGTTTTGAATCGTTGCTTGAAGTGCGACGTCCTGAAATTGTCAATACGGGATCCCCTGAAATCCTGACCCTTTCCCTGGGACCGGCTCTGGGTCCTGAATCTTCTTGTGGCGGCCCCGAGGCCCGGCAAGAGCCTCTGGGGGCCCAAAATAGCGAGACCAACCTCGTCGTGATTTCTGTCGCAATGCACCCCGAAGAAAACCCATTATAAGTTGCGCGGTGTCGGTTGCGAAGATCATATCAAGGTCATGCTCCTACCCCCGATACTTCGTGTGCGTGCGTATGTGGCGCGTCCGCCCCGCGCACGCACGCCCAACCACCGCTGACACGCTGGGCAGCCTCAGATCCCGTTTTTTGTAGGAAAGCCTCCCTGTGATTCGGATGCGGAGCCCGGGTGACATCGCGGACCTCAGTAGCTGCAGCTGCAAATGCCAGGCGAAGAAAAAGTGGTGTCGGACTAATACTCATCCTCTCCCTCTTGCTCCTGCTCCTGCTCCTGCTCCTCCTCCTGCTCCTCCTCCTCCTCCTCCTCCTCCTCCTCCTCCTCCTCTGGGCCCCCTCCCTGTATCCTCCCGCCCAAAACAAGAAATGACTTTTCGACGCCGCCCTCGCGGACCCAAAGAGATGCAGATGCTCCTCCTCTTCCTCCTCCTCCTCCTCCTCTTCCTCCTCCTCCTCCTCCTCAGGGCGACTGCGCAACGGCAGCAGTGTGAGGAGAAGCAAACGCACGAGGAAACGGAGTGAGAGGAGCATCGCGAATCGTTTCAGCCGGCTTCTCGGAGGTGTGGAGGAAAGAGGCGGATACTGTGGAACATGATGATAGGATTGAAGGGGAAAAAGAAAAGGAGGAGGAGGAGGAGGAGAGTAGGAGCATCGCGCAAGCGAAGATCCCCAAGGGCAAGTGCCTGCCGACTGCGGAGAAAAAGGAGGAGGAGGCGGAGACGTTGTCACGTCAGCGAATGGTCAACACCGACGCAAACAATCGAATATCCCGCCACCGGAAGGAGAATGAGCAGGAGCAGCAGAGAGAACCCAGACCTGGACCCGCATCGGATCGGGACCCGCACGGGCACGGAGTCTGAATCGGCATCGGTTGGAAACCCCCCGTGCGGACACCAGGCCTGTTTAAAACCTCGCGTCACTGCCCTCCCCAGACCCCGCACCGTTCCCCCATTGCCAAAAACGCAACATCGCCGAAAATCACCACGTGAGCCCCAGACCTCATCTTTCTGCATCCGGAATGTGCGCTCCACGCGCAGGTTCTTGCAATGGCGAAACGATCCTCGCCCGTCGCCCCCGCCCAAGCCTGAGGCTGGTGGCTCTCCACCGTGTCCGCGCGGGGCGCGAGGGGCAGAGCTGCGACCTTTCTGTGACTCCAATGCGGGTGCAGGCGAACGCCTGTCCTGTCGTCGCGGCACAGCACGAAGTCCCACATCGGCAGCTTCACTTTCACCCGCTGCCCCGTGAAGTGTGTCGCGTTCGCGTTTCCTGGCGCATGTGGTCGTAGCTGTTTGGCCGTATTTCCAAGGGACAGCCGATCAGAACCCCGCTGTTGCGGGCCCCCCCAGCGACCTCCCTGACATCTTCCTCCCAGAGCGTCGCCACCATCTCTTGCCACCGCCACGGGACTTCCCCGTCTCCCTTGAAAGACAAGCTCGTTCCCTTGCAGTGTTCGCAAACACAGACCATGGTGGGCTCCATGTTGTCGAACAACTTGGCCTCTGACTCGACCGGCTCTCTTGCGTCTGCTTTGATGCCGCGCCAAAATTTCAACGCCTGGCTGTGTTGCTTAAACGAACTGCCGAGCCTCTGCAGATAATTCCCAACAAAAAAAATCGACGGCGAACTGTTCCCATTCTCGGGGCCTGCGCGCCGCCGCTGCTGCGGCGGCCAAGGCCCTGGCGCCGCAGGCGCGGCTTGGGATCCCGACCCCTCCCCTGGAATAGAATCCCCAGGTTCTGGCGAGTTTCGGAGGGCAGGCCGCGCGAAATTATCGAATTCGGGCATGCAGAAACAGTGGGCGCGGGGGCTCGCGACGCCAACCGCGGCAAAGCGAGGCGGCCTTTCACGCGCGACCGCCGACGCTGCTGCGGCGGCAGGGTCATCGCGCCACTTGGCGTTCCCAGTTACGGTGTTCCCGTCTTGTCGCCGCTCTCTCCAGCCCCGCGTTGACCAATCACGGCAGTCCTCCCAGCCAGACCAGCCGCTGCTGCGGCTGGCCCACCAGCCTGCCGCGCCACCCCATGTGTTTCCGCCTGCGTCGCCCATTGCAAGACGATCGCGCACGCGTGCGTCAGGCCGCGAGCGGCCCCACTGCACCGTTGCTCGCGGGCGAACCCGCGGGCGCGGGATGGTTTGAGCATAACGGTGACGGACGACGCGATGTGATTGGACGGCAGAGAGGTTGAAAGAAAAGGGGGCGGGAAGAGGGAAACGAAGTGGACGAAGAGTGGGAAGTCGAACCAGAAGGGGGAGACAAGGGCGGAAGAGGCAAAAAAGGCAACGGAGGATAATGTGATGGATATTGTGAAAGGGCGCATGGGAAAACGCGACAAGGATCACAGACGCAAAGATGATGAGCGCAACATTAGCATGAGAGATACGAACTCAAGCAGCAGGATGAGGAGGAACGGGATGAGGACCCCCTCTGTCACAGAGGGCCTCCGAACACCGCCCCTGTGTCACAGAGGGCCTCCAAACACCGCCCCTCTGTGCAACATGTTGCGCTGAATGCGGCTTTGGATTACCGCATCACGAAACAGCACGACCAGAGTCCCATGCACGTCTTTCTGCTGCACGCTTCGGGCCGGATCGATCTGCCAGGGCTCCAGGGACCCAGAACTGTGCGCAAACGCCCGACGCCAGGATCTCGCCCCGAGCAGGGCGGCGCGGAGGGGCCTCGGCTCTGGGACACAGAGAGAAGAGTACTGTAAGCCTAGAGCGAACATTTCCAGTCCCGCCGCGGCAGCGAGTCGGTAGGGGGACGAGGAGCAAGCGTTGGGCGTCGGTAAATGTGGGAGCGATGATTGGGGGGGGAAGAAAAGTGCACACGTCGGACCCTAAGGGCTCCTTTCTGGGCCCTCACGGGCCCCTGGAGGCCGAAGCCGAAGATCCCCCAGACCTCCCCTATGGGTCTCCGACGTCATGTTTTTTTTTTAAGGCGTGGAAGCCCAGGGAGGCCTGGACCCCATCCCCAGGACCGGCCTTTCGGCATGAGTCGTCTTGTGGACCGTCCGGCGAGGGCCACGCGGGGCAGAACACTGCCAAGAACCGGCCTTCGTGTGCTTTCCCTCGCAACGCGGGCATGTCTCCGGGGGCGTCCCCAAGAGGGGGGAGCGGGGACGACGTGGAGGCGGGGCGACCAAGAGGGGGGGGGCGTCGTCGTCGTCATTGTCGTCGTCTTCTTCTTCGTCGTCGTCGTCGTGGTCGTCGTCCAAGAGGGAGGGCGTCCAGGAGGGAGGGGGGGCGCAAGACATGGGCGGAGGCACGTGCGCGGGGAGGCGCCCTGAAATCTAGGGGGATATCACTAAAGGGGCCCAGGGACACACACACACACACACATATTTATATATATATATATATATATATATATATATATATATAAAAATGCACACAAATAACAGGATTCCCCTCATATTGTCCAATAGTTTCTGGGTTTTTGTTTTCCCCCCACTTCCCATATGTTCCAATATTTTCTTGGGAACCGACGATTAATTGTGTCTGTGTTTTTTTTCCACTCCTGAAGCATGGCCCCCGCCATAAGATCCACTCCCCCCCTCCCTGAGATCTGACGCTGCGAAAACACTGCAGCATCGTACGAGCACTCACGACCCGAGCCCCGGACCCCGTGGTCCTGCATCCTTTTTCTCGAGCCGGATCGCTACGTGAAGGTCCCAGGGCCCGCAAACGGGGCGACCATGCCCGTTGTGAAAAAATTGCAACGCCAGGATCTCAGGGCTGGTCCCCGCCTCCCCCCCATGTGAAGGGACCCTGGGATGCACAAATCAATAAATATAACTAGCAGGATGTCCCATCTTTTCCTATCTTTGCTGGGTGTTTGTCTTCCCCCCCACCTCCCTATTTTCCCGAACATGTTCTGGGGAATCGACGATTGATGGTTGGTGTCTGTGTGTTTTTGTTCCCTCCTGACTGGCCGCCCCCGATGTCAGGGTCTGTCCTGCCCCGCAGCTGCCGCCGCCGGGCCGCCCGCCTGCGGGGCCCGCGCCCCCGCGGCGGCGCCCTGCCCGCCGCCGGCGGGCGGCCACGCGCTGGCCGCGAGCCCGTGCGGCAGCGCGCCGGCGAAGCTGGCGGCGAGGACGGCGTGGGCCTGGAGTCAGGGGGGCGTAAGACCCGGGTACAGGGGACTCGGAAATCCCCGACGAGGTCGTCAAAAAAATGACGAGGCCGAGCCTGCATTTTGACGAGGCCTCCTGCTGCAGACGGTCGTCAAAAAACGATGGCGAACCCGAGTCCTGGCAAACTCGGGTCTTACGCTACCCCGACCGTGGCCGACGGCCCGGAGCTGGAGCTCCGGCGGCAACGACAGGCAAGAAGAGTGCCCCCGCGGTCTTTTTTTTTGGGGGGGGGCCTGAGCTCGGAGGGCCCAGCCCAGGACGGTGGGGATCGGAGGGGGTCTGTCCTGCAGACGGCCCAGGCCAGGCCGCCCAGATGCATGATCCCTCGTGCGAAGACGGGGGGGCCTCAGGGAGGCTACGTCTCATCATCGCGTGATTAGGGTTAGGGCCTCTTCTGTCCTCGATGACCTTGGGAGCCGCGTTCCGTGGCGGACGACCCAGATCTCCGACGATAACGTGTTGCGGCGGCGGCCCCGGCGACACGCCATGCCCTGCGAGCGGGTCGCGTCTCGATCCGCTCGGCGGGGCGGGGAGACGGGAGGGCCTCGGGACGCCGACGCCCAGGGGCCGGGCAACGGACAGCGCGCCGCGCCGAAGCGCGGTGGGCCCGAAGCTGAGAAGCGACACGCCGTCGAAGAGTTCCGGACAGTGCGATGTGCTGAGTCGGGGCGCTTGCTGGCCATCGCTCGGACGTCCCTTCCTTGTTGTTTTTTGTTTCGGTCTCGTGCGTGGCTTCCTCGCCAGATGACCGAGGGGGCTCCCGGATGGTCCTCGCCGAGGGAAAACTGCACACGTCCGAGCGATGCCAAGTTTGTGCCTCGGCCTGGGCCCTCGAAGGCCGCTTTCGGGGCCAGGGCCGTCCAAAACGGGCCTGGGTCGGCGGCGAGCGCGGGGGGGGAAGGGAGAAGGGGCGGGCCTTCCCAGAAGGCCCGGAAGCCCCCCAGCCTTTCGAGAGGCTTTCGAGGGTTATAACCCTCGAAAGCCTCCGGGGTATACTCTCGAAAGCGTTTTTGAGAGGCTTTCGAGGGTTAGAAGTCTGCTGTGTCTTCTGGGTGTACCCCGAAGACACAGCAGACTTCTCAAAGGCGCGAGGGCTTCTGAGACGTCCGGCCGCCTTCTGAGAAGGTCTCCTCCTTCTCACTTCCCCCCCTGGCTCGCCGCCGCATTTGGTTTGGGGGGCATAACTCGGGTCTCCGGCGGCCGTTCGGGACGATCTGGACAACCCCGGAACGCTCTCGGCGAGGCGCAGCCGCTGGAACGCATCCCGAGGGCGAGAAACCGCCAAGAAGCTGCGAAAACGCCCGGAGAACTTAGAACTTCGAAGTTCGACCACCAGGCGAGCCAGCAGCACCCGATCCCCATCTCCTCCTCACTTCCCCCCCTCCCTCGCCGCCGCCTGGGCCGAAACGCTACTCCTGGAGCAGCGGTCGGGACCCTTGTGGGGGGGTCCGCGCCGTGGAACACCACTTTTTCGATCCGCGGATCGAGAGCGAGCCTCTTCTGGTCGAAGCTAAGCGGGCCGCGCACAGCTTTAATCAACAGAGGAAACAAAACAGAAGGAGGGGCCTCACGTCAAGGCCAGGAGGCCGTGGAAAATCACGACGCCGGCGGTCCGAAGAAAACGACGAAAACCTCAAGGACGCAAGAGCAAGGAAGAGCAAGGACGCAAGGGTACCCTGAGCAAAGTCGCGCGTCCTTATTAGGGTTTTTGACTGCACTCCCGGAGAAGCGGTCGGGTCCCTTGGGGGGGGGGCCGCGCCGTGGAAAACCACCGGGTTGGCCGTCGTCGGCGGCGGCAGGCGGCGGGGCGCGCGCTCCGCAGAGCCTGCCGTCGTCTTGTTCGCCGTCCTCTTCGTCGTCCTTTTCGTCGTCGTCGTCGTCGCCGCCGTGATCGTCGTCGCGGTCACCGTCGTCTTCGAAATCGCCGCCTTCGTGGTCGTCATCATCGTCGTCGTCTGCAGCGTCGTCTTCGACGTCCGTGTCGCCTGTGTCGTCGTCCTGTTCGTCCTCGTCGGCGTTGGCGTCGCCGTCGCTCCAGTCGTCCTCGCCGTCGCCTTCGAAGTCGTCTTCGTCGTCGTGGTCGCCGTCGTCCCCGTCGTTCTCGCCCTCGTCCTCCCCATCCCATCTCTGGGGATGGGGGGGGCGGCCGTGGAACCTCGGGACCCATCCTATCTGGGGGGGGGCGGAGGCCAGGGAGGCACGTGCACCTATGCACCGATCGGCGTACAGCCAAGATTTCGCCAGAAGGCGCCCTGGACGAGGAACATCGAGCCCTTCCCGAAGGACCTTATCCCACAACTTTCGCAGTGCACGTTCCCGGTGGGCTGCCCCATGTGTTTACCGTATCGGCGATCTCTCGGCAGGTGTGTCGAGGTCGATGATCGGGTCGGACGAACAGGGGGGGGAGAATAGGGAGGGTTAGCGAATCAATTCACGCAGCTGGTTTCCCCAGAGCCTCGCGGCGCCAGAGTACATTGTGGGAAGCGCCTGGAAGCGGGGAGGAAACCAGCTTCAGGCAGCAGATTTCGTATCCCCACTTCCCCTCCGCCCCCCCCTCCTCCGACACCAAAGGGGGGGTGTCGGAGCCGATGGGCCGCCCAGGGGGGCAAAAGGCCACAGCTTCTCCGACACTTGTAAGCCAGTCTGGCCTGGGAGACGTCCGCGAGCTGGGCGTACCCGTTCCAGGTGGACTGCCCCAGGGACATATCGCATCGACGATCTCTTAAAAGGGTTTCGGAGCCGAAGGGTTCCCATTGCGGGGAATAAAGCACAACAACTCCCCGAACATATTTCTGGTCTGGCCTGGGAGACGTCCACAAACCGGGCGTACCCGTTGCTGGTGGGCTGCAACGTGGATGGATCCACCAGCAGCTTCACCTCCTCAAGCGCGCCGAACGACGCGAGGAGGCCAGCCAACTGCTCTTCAGTGGCCCCGGCGGGCACCTTATCACAGAGGGTGATTCTCCTCCGCCCCCTCCTCCTCCTCCTCCTCCTCCTCCTCCTCCTCCTCCTCCTCCTCCTCCTCTTCCTCCCCCCGTCCCCGTCTCACGTATGTTGTTTTGGGGAGCCGAGATACGGACCGCCTGGCCCAACATTCGCTGTCCCTTCATCTGTCGCTTTCACCCGCCGAGCATAAAGAGCTCGATCATATGAGTGAGCATGCGAACCTCCGTGATCTGTTTTCCTCTTCCCCTTTCTGTGCTCATGTGAGTTTCCGTAATTATGTTGTCCGTAGCGCTGAATAATGTTGGGTCCTGGTTTGCCTTGTTTCCCGAAACTTGATTTCCTGTTGGATCCCGCGTGGCGCGGTGTCGACACTGAGGAGGACAAAATACCTCGTTGCTCGCAATGTGTGTTTGGAGGTTGTTGACCCCGAGACGCACAGTACTGCTTGGATGCAGGCGTTCCTTGTAGGTGAGCGGCTAATGCTGGGATGCAAAAGCCTGCCCACGGTATTAATGAAGTTGCATGGTGTTGAGAGCGTGACAGGTTACCTTCTGTGTGTCACGATACTGTATGATGCATGATGTGGAGTGTGCTCCCGCTCGTGTTATGCATCCCGCGTGGGGCTTGCACGAACAAAAGATGTTTTTGACTGGGTTCGGGCGAGACATCATGGCGGAAAAGCCAAGCGGGATACCAAGCGGGAAACCACACGAAAAACCATACGGGAGACCAAGCGGGAGACCATACGGAAAACCATACGGGAAACCTTCCGGGAGACCAGACACTACTGGCTACCGATTTCGAGCCTGGGGAACGCAACCGTGGTCTTAGAAACAGCGAGTGTAAACAGCGAGTGTGCCAGCGTTGACCACAAAGACAAAAAGTATTATTATGTGGGTGTGCGCGCTACTTGGGGCAAGCTCCGTCGTGGAAGCTAGGTGGTGCTATCCATGAGGCGTCAATTGTTTGATGTAAAATATGCTGTGCAAGCTGCGTGGTGCTAGCTAGGTGAACCGGATACGTGGTGTAATTTTTGCGGAGCAAGCTACTCGGTGCAAACTACGCTGTGTAAGCCATGTGGTGTCAAGTATTCGTGGCACTACGCGTGGGTTAGCTTATGTGGTGTAAACAGCGTGTCGTAAGAAAAATCAGTCGTGTGAACTGTGTGAGTTTTGCTGTACTGTGGATTTCGAACTATGTGTGGTGTTTGCAGGCTACGTCGTGCAATCTATGCGGTGCCCAACACCCGGCGAAACCTTGGCAGACCCGCCCTGCGCACGAAGCGCCCAAGAGGTGGCCACGCGGGCCCACCAACGGGGCACCGGGCGAAACCTCGGCACAACCATCCAATCTCTTCGGTATCCCGGAATAACAACCCATAAGTGTAAGCACTGTTGAGGAATGTATGTGTAATTATTTGTGCATAAATGTATGTATATATATGTGTATATATATACATATATGTGTGTGTGAATAAAATTATCATGGCGAGGACCCAGCCATAAGCAATTATTCGTAACGCGTTGTGGGTGCCGCTTTCGGTGGGGTTCCCTATGGGGCCACGAAGCGCTGCCCTGGGTGGGGGATGCGCATGCTAAAGCAGCCACTGGGGCCTTCGGTGGAGCTCCCTATGGGGCCACGAAGCGCTTCCCTGGGTGGAGGAACCGCATGCGAGAGCAACCCCTGGGGCCTTCGGTGGAGCTCCCTATGGGGCTACGAAGCGCTGCCCAGGGTGGGGGAAACGCATGCGAGAGCAACCGCTGGGTCCTTCGGTGGAGCTCCCTATGGGGCTACGAAGCGCTGCCCAGGGTGGGGGAAACGCATGCGAGAGCAACCATTTGGGCCTTCGGTGGAGCTCCCTATGGGGCCAGCGCTGCCCAGGGTGGGGGAAACGCATGCGAGAGCAACCACTGGGGCCTTCGGTGGAGCTCCCTATGAGGCTGCGAAACGCTGCCCAGGGTGGGGGAAACGCATGCGAGCGCAACCACTGAGGCCTTTTGTGGAGCTCCCTATGGGGCCACGAAGCGCTGCCCAGGGTGGGGGAAACGCTTGCGAGAGCAACCGCTGGGGCCTTCGGTGGAGCTCCCTATGGGCCACGAAACGTCGCCCAGGGTGGGGGAAACGCATGCGAGAGCAACCACTGGGGCCTTCGGTGGAGCTCCCTATGGGGCTGCGAAGCGCTGCCCAGGATGGGGGAAACGCGCGCGAGAGCAACCAGGCCTTCGGTGGAGCTCCCTATGGGGCCACGAAGCGTTGCCCAGGGTGGGGGAAACGCATGCGAGGGCAACCGCTGGGGCCCTCGGTGGAGCTCCATATGGGGCCACGAAGCGCTGCCCAGGGCTGGGGGAACGCATGCGAAAGCAACCATTCGGGCCTTCGGTGGAGCTCCCTATGGGGCCACGAAGCGCTGCCCAGGGTGGGGGAAAAGGCATGCGAGAGCAACCGCTGGGGCCTTCGGTGGAGCTCCCTATGGAGCTACGAAGCGCTGCCCAGGGTGGGGGAAACGCATGCGAAAGCAACCGCTGGGGCCTTCGGTGGAGCTCCCTATGGGGTAACGAAGCGCTGCCCAGGGTGGGGAAAACGCATGCGAGAGCAACCGCTGGGTCCTTCGGTGGAGCTCCCTATGGGGCTACGAAGCGCTGCCCAGGGCGGGGGGAACGCATGCGAGAGCAACCGCTGGGGCCTTCGGTGGAGTTCCCTATGGGGTTACGATGCGCTGCCCAGGGCGGGGGAAACGCATGCGAGAGCAGCCACTGGGGCCTTCGGTGGAGTTCCCTGTGGGGCCACGAAACGCTGCCCAGGGTGGGGGAAACGCATGCGAGAGCAACCACTGGGGCCTTCGGTGGAGCTCCCTATGGGGCCACGAAGCGCTGCCCAGGGTTAGGGGAACGCATGCGAGAGCAACCGTTGGGGCCTTCGGTGGAGCTCCCTATGGGGCCACGAAGCGCTGCCCAGTGCGGGGGGGACGCATGCGAGAGCAACCCTTGGGGCCTTCGGTGAAGCTCCCTACGGGGCTACGAAGCGCTGCCCAGGGTGGGGGAAACGCATGCGAAAGCAACCGCTGGGGCCTTCGGTGGAGCTGCCTATGGGGCCACGAAGCGTCGCCCAGGGTGCAGGAACCGCATGCGAAAGCAACCGCTGTGGCCTTCAGTGGAGCTCCCTATGGGGCCACGGAGCGCTGCCTTGGGTGGAGGAGCCGCATGCGAGAGCAACCACTGGGGCCTTCGGTGGAGCTCCCTTTGGGGCCACGAAGCGCTGCCCAGGGTGGGCGAAACGCATGCGAGAGCAACCACTGGGGCCTTCGGTGGAGCTCCCTATGGGGCCACGAAGCGTCGCCCAGGGCGGGGGAACCGCATGCGAGAGCAACCACTGGGGCCTTCGGTGGAGCTCCCTATGGGGCTACGAAGCGCTGCCCAGGGTGGGGGAAACGCATGCGAGAGCAACCATTGGGGCCTTCGGTGGAGCTCCCTATGGGGCCAGCCTTCGGTGGAGCTCCCTATGGGGCCACGAAGCGCTGCCCAGGGTTAGGGAAACGCATGCGAGAGCAACCGCTGAAGCCTTCGGTGGAGCCCCCTATGGAGCTACGAAGCGCTGCCCAGGGTGGGGGAAACGCATGCGAAAGCAACCGCTGGGGCCTTCGGTGGAGCTCCCTATGAGGTAACGAAGCGCTGCCCAGGGTGGGGGAAACGCATGCGAGAGCAACCGCTGGGTCCTTCGGTGGAGCTCCCTATGGGGCTACGAAGCGCTGCCCAGGGCGGGGGGAACGCATGCGAGAGCAACCGCTGGGGCCTTCGGTGGAGCTCCCTATAGGGTTACGATGCGCTGCCCAGGGCGGGGGAAACGCATGCGAGAGCAGCCACTGGGGCCTTCGGTGGAGCTCCCTGTGGGGCCACGAAACGCTGCCCAGGGCGGGGGAAACGCATGCGAGAGCAACCACTGGGGCCTTCGGTGGAGCTCCCTATGGGGCCACGAAACGCTGCCCAGGGTTAGGGAAACGTATGCGAGAGCAACCATTGGGGCCTTCGGTGGAGCTCCCTATGGGGCCACGAAGCGATGCCCAGTGCGGGGGGGACGCATGCGAGAGCAACCGCTGGGTCCTTCGGTGAGGCTCCCTACGGGGCTACGAAGCGCTGCCCAGGGTGGGGGAAACGCATGCGAAAGCAACCGCTGGGGCCTTCGGTGGAGCTGCCTATGGGGCCACGAAGCGTCGCCCAGGGTGCAGGAACCGCATGCGAGAGCAACCGCTGTGGCCTTCAGTGGAGCTCCCTATGGGGCCACGGAGCGCTGCCTTGGGTGGAGGAGCCGCATGCGAGAGCAACCACTGGGGCCTTCGGTGGAGCTCCCTTTGGGGCCACGAAGCGCTGCCCAGGGCGGGCGAAACGCATGCGAGAGCAACCGCTGGGGCCTTCGGTGGAGCTGCCTATGGGGCCACGAAGCGCTGCCCAGGGTGGGGGAAACGCATGCGAGAGCAACCACTGGGGCCTTCGGTGGAGCTGCCTATGGGGCTACGGAGCGTGTGAGAGGTGTGCCGAGAGCAGAGGCAAGGAGGGGGCGGAGGGAGGAGGGGGAGGAGGAGGAAGGAAGGAGGGAGACGCGGGGCGCTCTCTCTTCAAAACGAGGACCCAAACACCACAGGATGGTTAGGAACAATAAAACCTCCCTGGCCACTTTGGTATATTTGATTTACCCCCACGGCTTCAACGCATCAGGCAACCAATCGCCTGCTTACAACATCCGGGGGGAATTCTGCAAGCCAATTGCACCGAGCAGCAGGTGCACATAATTGGGCGACCTCGCCTCGGCGACGCCGCTTCGGGGAAGGGGCTTCGCGAGTTCTTTTCGGAACGCCCACTATGGCCCCCTCCCCTCAAGGATCGACCCTCGGCTCGGCCGCCAACAACAGGGCATATGTCGGCTGCACAAGACATAAGCTACTGTTGCATGCCTTGAAAGCCCCTCTCTGGCCTGCATGGACCGAGACTGTGCGGAACCAGGAG